GTGCAGGAGGCAGCTGATCGATGTTTCTCTCTCACCGATGTTTCTAACTCTCTATCCCTCTCCCTTCCTCTCTGTAAAAAAAAATAAAAAATAAATAAATAAATAAATAAAAATAGAAAGTCAATAAAATATATTTAAAAGAAAGGGAGAGGAAGAGGGGATAGAAACATCAATGAGGAGAGAGAACCATTGCTCGGCTGCCTCCTGCACGCCCCCTAACTGGGGATCGAGCCTGCAACTCGGGCATGTGCCCCCACCCGGAATCGAACCCGGGACCCTTCAGTCCGCCGGCCAACGCTCTACCCACCGAGCCACACCAGCCAGGGCTGTAGTCTTCATATCCAAATCATAGGACTGAAGGGAAACCCCTCCCGTCTTATCCCCAAGTCACATCAAGGTTCCGTGTGTCCATCTGACACGTAATCCTGGCCTCCTGCAGGTTGTTTCCTGTCTCCATGGCAACCTGCGACGGGGGCCGCCTCTCGCCCCATCTTGCATGAATCCTGCGGGGAATAGTTTGCTGCTGTCTCACCTGGGTCTGACTCACCTGCTCTCCTGCCCAGCCTTCCCACCAGGAAACCAGTGACCACTTCCCTGTGTATCTTTCTACACCTTTTTCCTCCTTTTTTTTTTTTTTTTAAATATTTTTATTGATTTCAGAGAAGAAGGGAGAGAGAGAGAGAGAGAGATCAATGATGAGAGAGAATCATGGATCAGCTGCCTCCTACAAGCCCCCCTATTGGGGACGGAGCCTGCAACCTGGGCGTGCGGCCTGACCAGGAATTGAACCTTGACCTCCAGGTTCAGAGGTCGATGCTCAACCACTGAGCCACGCCGGCTGCCTGCGGGGCAGGAGCATGGTTTAAAAATAAACAAGTGCACACAGCACCGAGCAGGCGTTCGCAGCCGTTCAGGAAACGGTGCTCATGCATGACAAGGCTATTGGAGGACGCGGTCCCCTAGCCGTCTTTGGGGGGGAGAAGGTACGTCTCCCAGCAAACAGCTGGAGGATTTGTGGGGGAGGGGACAATACGAGAGACACAACGGGGCCCTCACCGGTTTGGCTCAGTGGATAGAGCCTCGGCCTGCGGACTGAAGGGTCCCGGGTTCGATTCCGGCCAAGGGCATGTGGTTACAGGCTCCTCCCCGGGCCAGGCCCTGGTCGGGCGCGTGCAGGAGGCAGCCCATCGATGTGTCTCTCTCACATCCATGTTTCTCTGTCTCTCCCTCTCTCTTCCACTCCCTCTAAAAATCAATGGAAAAATATCCCGGGTGAGGATTAAAAGAAGAAGAAGAAGAAAAAAAAGACCCAGCCGGGCACCCAGCCATCGACCGTCCCCCGTCCGTGTACCTGTGTGGCCCTCGCAGGACGGAAGAGAACAAGGGGTACTGGACACGGATGGAGACCCCGACCTCAGGAGCTCACCCAAGTGCAATGCTCTCCTCAAGCCTGGCCTTCCCGAGACCTCCCGAGCCGCGTGATCTGGAAGCCGGTGCGTTAGGAGTCAGGAGGTGTCCGTCTAAGGCGGTGGCGGCGGAAGGAACATTCTCTCAGGAGCCAGGCCGCTCACCTGGGCACCCTGAGCGCCTCAGCATCCCATTCACAGCCTAAAGGGAACCCTCTTCCGCCCGCCTCCCTCCCCGAGGCCCTAACAGGATTATGTAAATGCCAGCGCTCTCGGGGAGCCAGGCCTGTGAGTGTACCCATCAGCCTTGTTGATATCATTCTGATTCCCGAGTAGGTCCCTGTCCGTCCCAGGCACCTTCCTGCTCTTTGTCTCGCCAGGAAAGGACGCATCACCACTTAACAGAAGATGGATCTCGTGGCAGCGAGCAGTGCGTTATGAAAGACGAGGACAGTCGATGTCCAGATAACCGACCAGATGTCAGTCAGACTTTGAGACGATGGGTGGACACTGTGGGTGGACTTCTAGCTCAGTGAGAACGTTCAGGGACACGCAGGGAAGAAATAGGAGAGCGTGGTGCCCCCCCCTTCCCCTTAAGTTTCTATTTTTTTTTAAAAAAATAGCCCTAACCGGTTTGGCTTAGTGGATAGAGCGTCGGCCTGAGGACTGGGGGGTCCCAGGTTCGATTCCGGTCAGGGGCGTGTGCCTTGGTTGTGGGCACGTCCCCAGTGGTGGGTGTGCAGGAGGCAGCTGATCAGTGTTTCTCTCTCATCGATGATTTCAGAGAGGAAGGGAGAGGGAGAGAAACATCCATGATGAGAAAGAATCACGGATCGGCTGCCTCCTGCACGCCCCACCCTGGGGATGGAGCCCGCAACCCGGGCCTGTGCCCCGACCAGGAATCGAACCTCGACCTCCTGGTTCATAGGCGGAGTGAGATTTATTTTACATTTACAGGTAATTCTTTTCTAACGCTTAGAACTAATACACAGAAAATTTGGGGCACTTCTTATACATAGGGTACAGTAAAAAAAAAATGTAGGCAGTTTGACGACAGCCGATGTTATGAAATGCTATCTGCACTTCAATTGGTGTTTTAAGGATTATTTAAAAACGATCCCTCCTTATTACCCTGAGTTTACTCTCTTAGCTGTTTTACACTTTCATATTTTTTTAAAAAAATTGCTTTTTTACCCCATTAAAGACAGTTACAAATCTGTTCTAATTGCCCGAGATGAAAACAGGGCTTAGAAATACTGACGCTTCCAGGTCTTTCTGCGATCACTTTGATGACCTTTTCCGAGTTTAAAATTTTCTCATTCCCCGGCTCTCTCTGCCAGAGACCGGCACGCTGGTTTTTCTAACTAACATGCCGTGTACCCCGGGTTGGCATTTTAATTTTCTAA